GTGCTCTTCCGATCTATAAACGAGCATTGAAGAATGCGAGTGAAAAAATAGTGAATAAAAAAAAAACATTTTAATCTGTCAGAGTTTTTAGATTTGCATATCTCTTGAAACAGCTGATGACAGTAGCCTCGAATAAACGAGCATTGAAGAATGCGAGTGAAAAAATAGTGAATAAAAAAAAAAAACATTTTAATCTGTCAGAGTTTTTGGATTTGCACATTGAAATACCTCCGCAGACGTTCATTCGAAATCATAAAATTGTAAGACAGCACGCACATTGTTTGCAATTACATGTTACATTTTAAAGATCTGTGCTTCATTCATTTAATCATAATCGTATAAACAATATTTTTCTATTAATAGCACTTCTCTCGGTCTCAGTTAGAACGAGCTCAACGAAGATGGGAGGAACGTCGACGGAAGATACGTGTGTGTAAAAATAGAACGCATAATTCGTAAGATTCGTTGCGACCAGACAATATTTATAACCTAAGTTAATTTGCATCTTCGAGTGATATGCAAAGATTTTCTTCAATCGACCTCCACGAACGACATTGGCGTTAACGATAATAAAATGTTCGACGGAAACACCAGCGGTAATGTGCCGCTGCCAGCAGAAAAATTGCCAGAATGTTGGAATCAAGAGGAGAGGATGAGCGCGCTGTTCTCGCCGTTTCGCAGCAAATCCGCAAACCCGCAGGACTGGATTTCCAAATACAAATTCTGGAATAATTTGATATACGAATGGCTGAAGCATACCATGCAATGCAGCTTTTCTGTTGTCGATTTGAACGAAGCTTTCAAAAGAAAAGGCTGCGCGCCGCTATGTTTGGTTACCGTAATTGAGGAACTTACAAGGTATTGTAACTCTATTAAATACATATAAATTTTGCTAATATTTTGATCAGATATTAGTCAATTTGCTATTATAATAAAGGCAATTATTTGTGATAAAAATCGAGTGCAGACACAATAATTTAAAACATGATGTTTAACATTTTGTTTTGTATTAATATGTGCATTTTGTAAATCTTTTTTTTTTAGAAATAACGAGATAATTCAAGAGACTGACTTTGTTAAGGCACCGTGCGAAACATGGACAGCGTGGTCAATTGACATATTCGTAAAGAAACCAATTGGCTGGTCGTTTTCCAAAGTAAGGAACTACATTGTGGGCCAGAAGATAAATAGTACAGAAGTAAGATACGTACATCTGCGGATTGTGCGAGAATTGGGTGACATTATCCTCTCCATCACCGAAGTCAGGAAAGATAACATCTTGTTCCCAATATCGGAGATAATAGAATATTGTCAGAGCAAAACGAAGAAGCAGATTTCAGACGGTGCAGTGAGATTGACGTTAGAGTGGTTGAGACAACAGAAGAAGGTGATTTTTAAGAAGAGCTCCAATCCAAATAGTGAATTGCTAGTTAAGATCTCTGCGCAAACGGCAAATGAAATTACGGAGGTGGAAGAAGGCATGTATAAATTAAGAAAACAGGAAAACGAACTAATCAAGGATATAGAGCTTATGGAGCAAGAGAAGCTGAGTGTTATTAATGAAGCGAAACTGTACTTGGGAAAAGAGTTGCGTCAGATGGCGAAGACGCGATTAAGGAGAAAAATGGAATTGGAAAAGACCATAGAAAAGCGCGCGCAAGCTCTTGCAAATCTACGCGTTCTCATCACCAATATCGAAGACGCGCATTCTAACTCTGCAGTGTTATCTGCTTATAAAACTGGATCCGATGTACTGAAGAAAATAGGACAGAATGGTTTAACGGAATATAACGTAACAGATGTTATGGATGATATTAATGAGGTAAGTGGTTGTACGTGTTGTATGTATTACTTGTGATTATAATATTAACAGAGATGCGCTAATACCTGTTATTCGGCGATCAGATTTTAGCGGAGAACAAAGAGATAGATTCGGTTTTATCTGAGACACTGAACAACACAGACTCTGACTCCGAATTGGAAAAGGAATTAGCGGAATTGTTGGATGAGGACAATGATGTTTCCACTGCAGTTTCAAATTCAAATTCAGAGATTGAAAAACTGAAGCAACGTTTGCAAGATTTACGCGTAGACGGTAAATATTGTAGTATTTATTATATTTCATATAAAATAATGAAGTACATGATACAGATTTAGTTTCGCTCCGCCCAGGTATAACTGCCCTACCATCTGTACCGTCCAATAAAGAAAAAGCACTAAAGGAATTCGAGTATTCGTAAGTTGCAATAGTCTGTGTAATTCTACAATAACTTCATAGAATCATTCGTCTCTAATTTTTTAAAAATATTTTACTATAGGTATAAAATCGTATAATGGAAAATATATTCAAATGTACATTATGTATAAAAACAATGTGTAAAGATTTTTTTTTTAATCTGTTTTGTACAACTTGGCATGTATGAAGTTAAAATAGAAGTAACCAAAGTTTCTATTCTGCTCACATATTTTTCATATCATTTTATTTATATTTATGTTATAAAATAGTAAGAATTTTAGAATCCATAAAGTAATAAGCGTACCTAAAATTGTGAAATTAATCTCATTTATCACATACATACAAAAAATTATTTTTCAAGTTCTTAATTGTTCCATTCAACAAAATTGCAACTTCACATAATTACGCATTCAACAAAGAATATAAATAATTTATCGATAGTAT